TGTACAAACAGATTTCTAAAGCTCTTGCAGTGCTGTATGTGACACGTGCTGTGTAGTAGCCGGCCAGTTCAGTGTAGCTGCTGTGACATGAAATCCTACAGGAAGCTGTTCTTTTGCAGCACTTAATCACAGCTGAGCGTGAGCTGGTACCTAAGGAAGGTACCGTTGCACATAAATCTCCAAGACTGGTTATTAGGAGTGTCCCACAGCAGCTGTCTCCGGACTAAGTCCAAATACTTCCTGATTGTTCCCCCTTGGGAGGGGGCTAGAGAAGATGTACTTGGTATCCCTTAAGGGAGACAGTGTTACGCCATGCGGTCGCTGCAAAAGCGAAGAGTATTTTGGACCTTTCAGTGATTTTTAGCTGTATTTGCTGTGCCAAAAGCCAGTGCTGTAATATTGATGTAACTAATTTCTAGGTCATGTATGGTGGGCGCGCAATTGATAGCTTTGATCGTCGCATTCTGACCATCTATATGGATGAGTACCTTGGTGATTTCATATTTGACACATTCCAAGAGTTTCATTTTTATAAAGACAACAAGGTTGATTATAAAATTCCACAAGGGACTGTAAAAGATGACTTTGTTGGTAAGAAATGCTTTTCCTGACACATAAGTTGGCATTGAAAAAAAAAAGTCTGCTTACAGTATACGTTCTCTCCATACGTCCATTGCTGGATATGAGAAGTTGAAAGGAACTTCAGGCATTGTGTGTGTATTGCAATGGTGTAATCCACTGATGATAACGTTCTTGCTTTATGTGAGCAGCCCTTTGTAACGTGAGCTTACCAGCGAGCTCCTCATTTCCTTAAAAAAAATTAAAATCCCCAGGTAAACAGCATGTTAATTTTTTTATTACTAAGTGATACATTTCCATGCATGGGGGGGTGGGGGAGTGTATGTGGGGGGCGTGTTGGCATGTGCGCGCATTTCATGCTTAAAAATGTTCAGTTGATCCTTGCAGTGTTTCAACACCAGCTATAGCATTTGATTTTTTTCAAGCGGAGCAATAACAAAAATCGCTCATGGAATTCTCTGCAGTATTCTTTTTTGCCTGGTAGCTGTGGTTTAATATATCGCATCTTTAGGAAGCGTGTTTTTGTATTGCAGAGGCGATAGAATCTCTGCCACTTGCTAATACCCCGGAGGTATTTGGTCTTCATGCAAATGCTGAGATTGGGTATTACACACAAGCAGTTCGTGAGACGTGGTCTCATCTTCTTGAGCTGCAGCCTCAAGCAGGTATGTTCTCCGTTACTTTGAATTGTTTTTGTAAATAGGAAATAATGAGGTGGCGAGCTCCTTGCCATGAGGATTGTGATACCAGCCGTGCCACAGCCCGCCTCGGGGTGGCTGGGTCCTGGCACTGACACTGCAGCCCGTCACGCTGCCCGCACCTTGCGTGGGGAGGTGCACGATCCCGGGGGGCACGGCGGGATTGTGTCACGGCCTTGGGGAGCAGCGGCAGCGAAACAGCAGGGACCGGGAGGTGAGTGGAGCAGCTGAACTGCTTAGCCCTGCCAGCATGAAGTAGTTCAGCACGTGCCCAGAGGCAGAGTTTGAGGCACGCGGGGAGTCTTCTGGGGCAAATGTCAGTGCTGCAGGGGGTGGGAGACTTGGATGCCAAAAGGGTGGGTCAGCTCTCAAAGTTCTCTTAGAGAATTAATAATAGAAGGGGTAACCTATGCAGATTCAGTCTCACTAAACCATTTTTGTTTAGGTGAAACTGGTACAGGAGTTAGTCGGGATGAATATATTGCAAATGTTGCTAAGGATATAGAAAACAAAATACCACAAGTGTTCGATCTTGACCAGATACGGAAAGGTTTTGGACCAGAGATACCCCCTACGACTGTGGTGCTGTTGCAGGAACTGGAACGTTTTAATAAACTGATCGTTCGAATGGCAAAGTCACTGGCTGAACTGCAACGCGTAAGTAAGAACACGGCTACTGCCGCTCACAGCAACTAGGGGAAATCAGTCAGGCTTTACCTGCCCCAGGCTGGCACTCAGACTCTCGCCGTCTTTCCAGGCCTTGGCTGGGGAAGTTGGAATGAGCAGTGAACTGGATGATGTGGCTCGGGCTCTCTTTAACGGACAGATTCCTGGAATCTGGCGGCGACTAGCCCCCGATACACTCAAAACACTTGGAAATTGGATTATTTTCTTTAGAGCTCGCTATAACCAGTACACCAGCTGGGTGAGTGCCTCCAGAAAGCTTTTTGTTTTGTTAATCTGCGTGATACGCTATGCAAATTGGTGCAGAAGTCAGTGATCACACACTGCTTTAGACAAGTTACTGGAACTAATGCCAGTCACCACCTAGAACGATAGTGAATCATTGCATGACTATGGATGCGAGACAGACTAGCCACTGGCTAGTCTTTAAGAGCGTTGGCCTCTGGGCTGAGTACAGGTGTGGTGGGAGAAGCAGGTGCTGCAGCTTGTCTTCTGTGACTGCAGGTTAACGAGCGTGAGCCAAAGGTGATGTGGCTCTCAGGCCTCCACGTCCCAGAATCTTACCTGACGGCTCTTGTTCAAGCCACCTGCAGGAAAAACAAGTGGCCCCTGGATCACTCCACCCTCTACACAGAGGTGACCACGTACAGGACTGCAGAAGACATCGCCGAAGGGTCTACTCAAGGTAGGTGTTTTTATGATTATTTGGCAAAAATAAAGAACTAGTTAATTGGTGAGAGAAATTGCCCGGCATACCGAGTAAATTACTTTGATTACACCTCTGCAGACAATGCCCTTGGTCATACATTTCACAGTCCACATGATTTCCAGCTGGGCAGTAGCTGGGTTCTGGCTGCTGCTTCCCCGCCGAGCCCCTGCAAACGCCAAGTACGACCTTCTCTCTTCAGCTCTTTTCACCCACACGCACGTGTTTGAACTTACACCTCTCCCTTGTGCGCGCTCTCGCTCTCGTGTATATACACTTATTTTCTTAATGGCTAGAACATTACCAGTCCTAGCAGGTTTATAAAGACCTATTTACACCACAAAGAATACATTGAAATATATTTAAACAAAAAGTAAATACAACTATGTATGATTTATTGTGTAAATATATCTTTATGAAATTTCTATGACTAGCAATGCTGTAATTACCAAATACAACAAACGCTGGGTAAAGGGGACAGCTAAGCAACTCTCGAGTACTAGACCCGATTGGGAACAGAGGAGGAACAAGAAAAATGTGATTGTTTTTGCTAAACCTAACTTTCAGTTAAAAATAAAAGTCACCTCAAGGGCTTACCTACACTATTCTTTATTTGCTACCATTTCATGAAAATGCTTGGTATTTGTACCGAACAACCCTTCACCTTCTGTCAGAATGATCTAACGAGCCGTCCCACGGGGGTTAGAAAGCTCTCTTACAACTGGGCTATTACTTGGGCAAGTAATCGGAGGGTTGGAGGATGGCACCCACTGTGGGGAAGAAAACTGCAAGGGAATCAGTATTTATTCCTAGTAATGTTTATCGTATGTAGTGCAACTGAGGCAATTTTAATTTGACAAAAGAATTTTAAACACAGTAGGTCACAGTTGTATTATAAAAACAAACACCACAGATAAGTACACCTCTGTGTCGCTGCAGTTTGAAATGATGAAGTGAGTTTAGTCGTGACTGTAAGCGCCAAGGACAGCTATTGCAGGATCCGTTGTCTTAAACTGACTCTTCAGTAGCTCAATTTACACGAGGTGTTGCATTTTCTGCCTGTGCAGGCTGCTTTGTGTCTGGTCTGTTTCTGGAAGGAGCAGACTGGGACATAGAGCACAGCTGCCTTACCAAAAGCAAGCCCGGAGTCCTGGTGGTGGAGTTACCCGTTCTGAAGATAATCCCCACTGAAGCGCACAGGCTCAAACTCCAGGTACTGCTCCCTTGGGGACAGCGTGGGCGGCTGGCTCATTAACGTCCTCCCGTGTTCACACCGCAATAGACAAGCAGCAGTATTTTATCATTACCGCTAGTACACAAAGTATGCAGTTTGACGCTTCCTACATTAGCCATCATTCAGGTTTTTCTTTTCTAGGGGCTACACTCGAGGGGGTTAATGCATTTGCTGTTTCTTTTCCATCCAGGCAGTACGGAACCATCTTGGGACACTCTTACAACCCCACTCCTCTTTTCATTATTTCCCCATACCAGTTAATGACATAAAGGCTGTTTACATTTTCTGGGTATCAATTATTTAAGACTTACAACAAAAAAAGTGAATTTCTGAAGACAGTCATCTCTCCTAGAGCCCCTTTTTGTTTCCAGTTTCATGCAGTACTTCAAGCGCTACTCAGTGTCCTTCTTGCCTCCACGCTCTTTCAGAACACCCTCCGGACACCTGTGTACACCACCTCCCTGAGAAGGAACGCGATGGGTGTCGGCCTTGTTTTTGAAGCTGATCTTCACACTACAAAGCACATTTCCCACTGGGTCCTTCAAGGCGTTTGTCTCACCTTGAATGCAGACTGACAGTTTGAAGTTGGCACTAGATTTTTCCCACAGAATCCAACCCTTGGGTGGGG